CTGAGTAGTATACCTAGGAAGGCGTTAGTCCTCAGACCAAACACCCATTTTCTCTGGGCACGGTGTGGAAGCAGAAAGCCCTGGACTTCAGGAGGCCATGGGGTGCTTTGACATCTGTCATCTGTGTGGTCCACAGATAGTAAAACTTCCTTTTTAGTTGCTGTGGGATAGAGATTCAGATTCAGTTCATTTTAAAAACATGACTTTTTTTTGGTACACCAGAGTTTATAACTGATAACAATTTTTAAAAATGTATTGCCAAAGCTGGGCATGGTGACACATTCGCCTGTAGTCTCAGCTACACAGAAGACTCAGGCAGGAGTATTGTTGAGCCCAGGAGTTTGAGACAAGCCTGGGCAACATAGCAAGACTCTGTCTGATAATATCAAAATAAAAAATAATATAAAAATAAAAAGCACTCCTTAAAATTTCTTGCACAACTCCTGAGTTCTTGAGACTGCATCTGCAGACACTATTGTAACTAAACAATAGTAATTTTGTCTCCCAAAATTGACTTCGTTCTTTATGTGATATAAAAATGGATTTTCATGTGTTAACTTCGAATAACAATAGCTCTGGATATGTTGTTTAGGAGGACATATTTTGGGAATCGGGGGAGTTGGGATATGTCTATGAACTATCTGAAAACTGCTATTAAGGGGAGGAGGAATTGATCTTTGGGTTCAAAAGATCACTTGCACCAAAAGAAGTTTCTGGAAAAGTCTGCTAAAATGTAATTTTCTGACAAACAAAACCGTTCATAGATGGGTTCTTGGAGAAGGAGTAAGTTCATCATTTTCTCAAGCAGAGGTTTGATAGATGTTTATCCATTGGAGATGATGACGCGGCAGTTTGTATTTCTCGTCCAACTAAGCTTTGTTTCTCTTTTAAGCCAAATTACTTGGTATTCGATCTTGTGTTTTTCAGCAGTTAAAATGTGTGAGTTTTTTTTTTTAATTAAAAAATTTTTATTTTAATAGTTTTGTGGGGGTACAAATAGTTTTGGTGTGGGCTTTAATTACCCACCACCCCCACCTGTGCATATTGTACCCAGTGGGTGATTTTTTTTTTTTTTGGTCTTTCCTCCCTTCCCCCCTACCCCAAGTCTCCAGCAATTCCCTGTAAAGAATTGTGTTTTCTGGAAGATTACTGACTAACCATTCTTGAAGGTTTAGACACACTAGTGTGTACTGCCTCCTCGTGGGGCTGAAGTTCAACTTCACATTATCTTTCATGTTCAGAAAATTGATCTAAAATTTGGTCTTTGCTCTTTATTGTTTTATTAATAGGGAAAATCTGTTTCCATCTGGCTAAACATTTAAAACTTATTAACAGATGATTTCTGGTTATTCTCAGCTCACTGTCATCAGGTTAAACTTCTAGCAAGAGAAGATGTGCCTTTTTGAGTGAATGAACTCTTTTTTTCCACAGTGGTTCCTCAATGTTTGAAATACAAGTTATTGTCTTTTGCTTATATATAATTGAGGTTCTGGGTTTTAACACTTAAAGCAGCTTAGACTACAGGTTTCTTATATTGGTGAATTTATTTTAATCTCTGAAACCACCTGTTAATTGGATATTTCTGTAGCATCTAAATATAGTAGCTTGACCTGAGGATGTCAATTAAGATACTCATAGCACAGCAGCAAATACAATTAGGTTAGTCCTAGTTTTCATGATCCTTAGCAAGTTCAATAAAAAACCTAATAAAATACCAACAGCAATGAACACTTAAATAGCACTTACTATGTGTTAGACACTATTTTAAGCACTTTATATTTACTAACTTAATTCTTGAAACACCCGAGGAGGAAACATACATGGGTTCCTAACTTGTCCTGGATCACCTAGCTAGTGGAACCAGCTTGGAAGGAAACCCATGTTTTTGGAACGAGAGCCTGTGTTCCGAGCCTCTCTGGGTAGGGAGGGGAACACTGTTTCAGAGAAGCCCTTACACCAGTGGTAATTCAGGACTGGGTGGAGCCTTTCCATTATGTGCTGGGACTCTTCTACCCCTTGAAAACTAATCTCTTTATTTATATTATATTCCCTCTGTCTTCCAAGAGTCTTGCTCTTGTAATTTTTTGTCTTCAGTCTTTAACATTCTGTATAGTACAGTGTTGCCACTGTTTTTTCTTCCCCCAACATAATACAGGCTTCTTTCCACCAGCATTTAAATGTCCAATCCCTACACATCTTTAAAGAATCCCCCCCCCGCGCCCAGAAGGCACCCACTTATTTCCTTCTTGAGTAGCCTCCATGTTGCCTCTCCCGCCTCGTTTCAATCCAGCCCTCATCCTCAGTGATGTGGTGAAGCTCCTCTCACCCTTGCACTGATAACTAATGCACGTTGTGGCTTTTTAGAATCTAACTTGGCCGCACCCCTCCTTCCCTGCCCACCCCTGCTCCCTCACACAGGCCTCTTTTACCCAGGGTGCTGTGACATCTCTCCAGGCTTGCTGCTCTCGGGCTCTTCCTTTCCAGTCTCCTTAGTATGTTTGCTGCCTTCTCCCTCCAGAGTTGTCCTAGGTGTTTTCAGCCCATGTGGCTTGCAGATCTCCAGCCCACAGCCCACATGAGCTTCTCACCCATGTTTTTAGGTGCTGTAGTTGATCTCACTTGATAGCTTGCAAGGCCACCCAAACATTACAAATTGAACTCTGCTTTATACACACAATCCACTTCTGGGTTTCATCCCATAGAGAATCATCTCAATGTCCAGCTGCTCCAAATTGTTTTCTGACACCTTCCTTACGTCAGTTCTCCCCCAACCTCTCTCCCACCCCCAACTAAATACCATTATTTTAGTCCAGGCCACTGTGAGCTCAAATGGAATGCCACAATAAGCCCTGACATGGTCTCTCCGCTGCTGGTTCCATCATGTCACAACCCCACTCTTTTAAAAGAGTGATCCTGCTGTTCCTGCTTCAGAATCTTTCCTTGGCCGTGAGGATGAAATCTCAGCCCTTCTTGACAGGACTCCCTCTGTTCGTCCCTACAGCTTTACCCTTTACCGCTTTGTCCTCCCTTAGTGATTGCAGCTTGGTTAAAGTTACCGAGTTGATTGAAAGGGTGATATCTGCTCTCTCCCACTCTGGCCTTCATGCTATTCTTCTTTCTGCTGGAATACTGACCAATGCTCCGTTACCTGGCTGATGTCTACAGTTTTTTCAGGTCTCAATTTCAACGTAACTTCCTCCGGAAAACCATTACCGACTACACCCTGGGCCCTGCTAGGTACTTACTACAGCATTTCATGGCATTTCTGAAACTTTCCTGCCATGGAGATGGCAGGGACCTTGTGCTGCTCACTGCTGTGTCCACTACAGTGCCTAGTATTTGGCACATAGAAGGTACAAAATCTTTGTTGAATGAGAACATACTACCTCCTAGAACAGCACATTCTTTGAGCGCCTAATAATTTACTTACAAGGTCCTTTCTATTAAGTGGTGCTTTGTCACTTCTGTTGATTGGTTCTGGTTCTTACCCTAAAGAACACACAACACAAGTCACGAGACAGTCTTCAAATGAATCAAGGACGTGATCTGTGCTTGTGACCCACATAGAGCATGGTGCCTAGGACCAAGCACCCAACCAAGCATGCTTGGCCCACAGAAGTGTGGCAACATTGCTACACTCATCAGATAGGCTATGCTTGTAATAATATAGCTTGAGATCCCATTTGTTTTCATCCCACTAACTGTCCATAATGGCAAACTCCCGAGTTCTTTCTTTTAGTAGGCGTTGTTTCCAAGAAGGATCTCCTGCCATATGCATGTGTTTCTTGAACACAAGTCTCAGAGCTTAAATTCTTGTTCAACTCATCCAAGTTGATATAATGCATCATGCTAGTTGGCTAACATGAGGGGGGATTTTAATCCTGTCAGTCAGCGTATTTGTTATTCTACTCAATTTCATGACATCTACTAATTTATAGGTAAGCCTTACGAGTCATGTAATCATAGACAAGGTACTTAATTGCTTCAAGCCTGTTTCTTCATATGTAAATAGGGCTGATAACAAGATTAGGGCGGCTGTGAAGAGCAAATGTGGAAATGTTCACAAAACATTCAGTGCAGTTCTTGGGACATGATACGCACTCAGTATACTTTAGCTATTATCAATGATTCATATCACTGATAACAAAGTTGAAGAAGGAGACAGGCAGACGCTGTGTGACATCACTCAGCCACTCTCGCAGGTGGAGACATGAGGAGGAACCTCCCACACACGCACACACACAAAATTATCTTTTGGAGGGCGGCCCCTTGTAACACACTCAAATGGCTAGCCCAAGTTTTTATCTGGAAGTTCTCAGAAGGTTGTATCATGATTTGCAGAAGAAATAGACTGAGTTGTTCCACCATGCTGTGTTCGGCAGTTTTTGACCAAAACCAGCATGACCCCCATGCCCCGCTCTCATTATTCACCCAATCTCGCCCCAAGTCCTCTTTTTCTTTTGCTGTTTGCCTGGTTGAAAAAAATCCTCAAAGGGAAATGTTTTGCCAATGTGGAAGAGGGGAAACAAACAAACAAGAAAACAGCAGAAGCACTACAAGGCATCAAAGTTGACAAGTTCAAAAACGGTTTTGAGCAATGGAAAAAGGATCTTGATGGTGTATTGCATCAAATGGAGAGTACTTTGAAGGTGACTAAAGTTTAAACATATAAGAATAAATGCACAGTTTTTAATAAATAAATTCTGGTTTTGGGGGGTCTCCGTTTATTAATAATGGCTTTATATAGCCCATTTGTATTTATTTTGTCCACAAGGACATACTAGAGAAATTTTTAAATGCCTTGATTTTCAAGTATGTTGTCTCTGATATTTCCTAGGTTTATTACCTAATACTCCTCAACCTTCAAAAAAAAAAGAAAAATTTTTTTTTATTTATTCTTAGTGATTCATCAAAATAACTTTCTGCCAAGATACTTTGTGTATTATCCTTATTTCTTTTTAAGATCTCAAAATACATAGAAAATGAATAATTCTGCCTACTAAGAGTATATGAAGTGATTTATTGATATTGGTTAAGATCTATTATATACAGGTAGAAACCTTCAAAATTGTACAAAGAACCATTAAGAATATTGATAAAGACTGTTTTATAGACAAAACAACAACTGGAAAATAGTTTTAACATACACAATATATAATTATGAAAAAAATGTAGAACACAAATTGTTCTACCAGATAGATTCCAAAGTTATTAAAAGTCTGCTTTGCAAACCTTTAGTTGAAAAAAATGTGTTCAATGGAGTTACATGGTTTAAAAAAATTAGATAATGTAAAAATTAAGATTTTTTTTCCCCTCACAGGAAATTGAAGAGGAACGAAGACAATTTTTTATGCCAAACCTATACAGTTTGAAAAATAATTTATATGTCTAGCACAAATAAAGAAAATTGAGAATATTTACGGTTCCGTAAACTTTGTCTTTCATGAAATGCAAACCGCATCAGTTTTAAAAATTAAAAATTGTGCAATCAGAAATAGACTGTTCCCTTTATGGTACAATGTACCTTCATTGGCTTTATACCTGAGCACCAAAGCTGAAGTTCCAAATGCCATCCTGGAAAGCTATTCTGAAAATGAATAAGAAATCAAAACTATTATAATCTAGAAAATCAGGCACCGAGAAGGAGATTATCTCCTTAGAAATGCAACATCAACAATAGAGAAGTTTCAATTAATTGAGCAGCTGACAGATCTCCTTGTGAACACAACAAAGGAAGTCCACATAAGAAGATCCTCCATAAAGTCCTTTGTCTTCTACCAGGAACTGTCGGAAAACCATTTCTGGCTGCTCCCGCTGCTTTACAATCGTGAGCTAGGAAAAAAGACAACAGTAGCTGGTTATAAACATTTTTTGAGTGTGGCTCAATTTTACCAAACATTGTTGAATGTCTACTATGTGTGAGGCTACAGAGAATGACGGGAAAGAGCCTAGTATCTAGAGTGCAGAGAGGCTCTGACCTCATACCCCAAGCATACGATCTCAAGTGGCAAAAGTGAAACATAAGCTGTGTACTGTGGGAAAGACTTCACAGTGGTAGTGACTGTCGTCTGGGCCTTAAAGGATAGGTGCAGGTTAGAGAACACTCCAGACTGGAATACAATGCACCACGTGCCAGAGATGATATGACTGGCACAAGCATTATCACAGACTTCTGAAAGGCAGTGGGAAGTTAGGTGACCATAAGAGTGAGTTTGAGCTTTTGAAGGAAATGTGATCCCAGTGGAAGGATGAAATGAGACAGTTAAGTAGAAGCAGTGGGTATAATGCATTAGTGAGATGAGGGAAGCTAGACAGGCTGGGAGTGTCTAAGTGGAAGATGGCAGAACCTGCATGAGGACAGTGGAGGTAGAAAGAGGGTAGATTTGAGAGGCAGCAGAGGTCAGCACATAGTTCCCTGAACTGGAAGAACCCCCACTCTCTGCTTATCACGATTCTTTAGGGCTGTGCTGTCCAGTTCTACAACCACCAGCCACATTACTATTCACTTGAAATGTGGCTTGTCCAAATTGAGATGTGCTGTAAATATAAGATACACAATAGATTTCTGAGACGTAGTGTGAAAAAGTGTTAAAAAAAAAATTTCAGTAACTGTACAGATTACATGCGGAAATGATGATATTTTGGATATACTGGGTTCAACTACATACACTATTTAAATGCATTTTTACCTTTTTAAATGTGGTTACGAGAAGACAGAAGTACATATGCACTTGCATTGCTGGACAGTGCTGCTCTAGGGAAGAGACCTCGGTGGAAGAAACCTGGGCAGGGGTGGGGGGCAGTTTAGTCATGAACACTTTGAGTCCTCTCTATCTCTTACTCCTGTTAGAGAAAGTCGGGGTAGATGATCTGACGGCCAGAATTTGATATTTATTGGGCCAGGGCTGGGACTGAGTCATACATCCACAGCAATCTCTCTCCATCTGCTTCCTAGGTAATTAAGAGGGGCCAGGGTCCTCCTGAGGTGAAACCACCACAAGGGCCTGCATGGGAAGTGCCTGCAGTTAGCAGCTTGGTCCTACTTTTGCATTATATGCTATTTAGTTATCAGAATTCTATCAATAATAATTCTATCAATACAGCTTGCTTTTTCTCTTTATATTTTTGTCCAGTGCCCTACTGGTAAGCTTTAAACTATTCCTAACCTAGTAAAAATAAAGGTATATCACAACTGCATTACTACCACTACAACTCAGCTAATTCCATGTGGAAACAGACATGTGTGATGTCACAGCTTCTGAATGGCAGCACCAGGCACTGGGAGCTGGCCCCAGAATAGCTGTGTGCACAAGCAGGTCTCACTCCCACATGGGAAGGAAACTAGCCCCAGTGGAGATTTCTCCAAAGGAGTTTAGGACTTGCCATGATGAACCCAAAGCCAAGGCTGTTTTCTTTTTATTCATATCCTGCCTCTCCCAAGTGCCACTATGACTCTGCTGTTGGCCATGATATGGGCAGCAGCAATGTGGATCTAACCTCAGTGACACTACTTAGGCTGAGATTAGACAGAATGGGACACTGTGGAGGGAAGGATGTGAAGTTCCAATTTCTTCAGAACTTAATTCCTTACGGAAATCAGTGGAAGGAAGTTCATATTGCTTAACTGGAGCATCTTTTGTTACTGCCATTCACGTGGGTTATTTTTTTGGTTTGGTGTTCAATGCCCTCGACTAAGTATGTCTGGTCATGATCTGCAGATCCCTACTTAAAAAGGGAATGCATTTCAGCCTTGAGAGAAACTTGGCTTTAGGCTACAGTAATTAATATTCTGCTCTACCATATGAGTATCTACAGATTCCAAGATGATACAGAAAGTACACGGAAGGTCTCAGGGAAGTAGATGCATGGAAGTGGTATGCAAGCTGTTTTGACATACGTATGGTCTTCTCCTAAAGGAGCATACCCACTCCAATAGGAGGATAAAATACTTGATGGACTGGGGGGGGGGTCCATCTTTATTTTCCCCCTTTACATCTCTATAGGAAGGGGCATGAACTTGTAGAGTGGGATTAGAATGTCCAAAAGGTCACTGCTGGTCCCCTCCTCGCTTCCTGTGTGTCTTTTCCACGGAAGGACCGGCTCACTCAAGTGGTCTGAATGTGACATTCTCTGGGCCACATTACCAGAAACTTCAGAAGCCAATGACATCTCTCACTGCCTGTCTCACAGGGAACAGCTCAAGTATGGGAGTGATTAGGATGGCCAGGACAAATGTGCTCAGTGAGAAAAGGAGAGAGCCACAGCCTGTTGTTTGAGGAATGCCAATTCATAAGGATCAGATGGATGAAGGAAAGCCAAAGGAAAAGGAGAATCAGAGCAGGCAATGTTTTGGAAGCTGATAGAAGAGAAAATCTGAGGGAAGAGGTAGTATTTAATCTTGCAAAGAGACTGTAAATTTTTTTTTCTAGCAACTTGGCAGTTTACAGAGAAAAGGAGAGGTGAGAAGAAGGGAACAGGCAGTTAATATAGATGGCTCTTTCAAGGAGCTTGGTTGTAAAATGGTATGTTGCAAGTGTTCAATAAATAGCATGGATAAAAGGAAAGGGAAGCAGAATTCTGGAGAAGCAGCAACTTTAATGAAGGTAGATTTGAACGGCTTGCAAACTATGCAAAAAAGCCTGTGGAGAGGGAATAACCTAGAAAATACAAGAGGAAGGAGAGATACCAGGAAGAACCAAGCAGCACAGGACTAGAATTTATCAGTAATGCACTTGATTTTGATGACCTGGGAGCACACTGTGGTAGAAATGTTTTTCTATTTCCCCACAAATGTAAATATATGCAGACAATGAGGTCTAAGAAGATTGATTCTGTGAAAAATTAGCATAATGTGGAAGATAGCAGTATCTTCTGGATTTGATGGTTATTCTTGATCCTTCCATGCCAGTTATTTTCTCTTAACTCTTTAAAAGCATATTTTCATTTCTTTCTATCAGTCAATTTTCAAATGTCAGAAAAGGCATAATACACTGGGACTAAGCAGCCCATGCTAGCTGCGGGTCAGCCACGATCTGATGGGGAGAGCCCGACCCAGTTAGTGAGCCCCTCCCAACGTCACTTTCATGTCTGTCAAGGGCAGTGGAGGGAGTAAAAGGCCAGGTGTCTCTGAGCTTCCTTTCGGCCCCGGCGTCTGTAGATTTTAGATATTTCAAATTCTTTATAGAGATGGCACTCTGAAAAGGTCAAAGAAGTCTTACCAATAACAGGTGGATAAATTTGCAGGGGGTACACAAAATTTGCTTCTTTAAAATGAAAATTATTTTATCATACAGTTGCTTATATTTATAATATTCAAAGTTTACCAAAGATTTTTTTTTATAACCAAAGCTGATATAACTTTGATAAGGTATTTAAGCAAGTGGGAGAAAGCCAAGAAGTTTGTGTTTTCTGTGAAGGTGGGCCCACTGAGTACAAGGATGGTCTCCACGCTCAGTCCTGTCTTTTCTCTGCCAATGACCCTTTGGAGGGATAAGGCTGCTACAGTTGGGTGAAGATAAGTCATTACTGCTTGCATTTTAAAGGCAAGTGCTTTTCAGTTTGTGATTCATGAGATTTGCTAACATGTCTCAAGGGCATCCAGAGAGTGTTGTGTGGAGAATGTGTTTAGTTTGAGCCTTCTGTGTCATCTCTATGTCCTGCCCTTTTGTGGTGTGAAAACAGTTCTGGAAAAGGTTATATATCAATTCAGACATCATTAGTCTGGTTTCCCTAAGCTTTACCTAAAGTTGATGTTTGCACACATGAGTTATTTTCATGGTTAAAAATGTTGATTTAGATTGACATCTCATTTACATTTCAGGAGAAAATTGGCCCCATAATTCCCTGGCAACTGTAGACACCTGCCTCCAGGTGAGTGTCTTATACCTCTGCAGTAAGCAGCGTTACATGGAATGTCATCATGCATACATTCCAAATTATAGGAAACTCTAATATTGAGCTTGGGAAGGAAGACAGGTAGCTAGAACTCAGTAACAAGGTATAATTTTCTTGGGTTCCAGATATTTTAAATTATCAGAAACGGCTAGAAGGTCTTAGAAGGACAAGAATAAGAAAACTTTTCAAAGATCATAAATTTAAAATTGTAATAAATCAAATTTTATAAATGTTCTGTATGATACTTCTATCATTAAGTAGTTTTAGGCACTAAAGGAAAAGTCATTTCAAAACCTGTTAATGATACCAGTTGCTATTGAGTCATGAAGAGGAGCTACATGATGACTAAGTTAATACTTGCCAAGATATCCCCTGGCTAACCCATGATAACAGCTGTTTAATTTGATATATTTGTGACTGATAAATAGGTAGACATACTTGGAGGTTAGTGTGAGCTTTCAAAGATTACATCATAATAATAAAGACATGAATTTTTTTTTTTCTTTTTTGAGTTGGAGTCTCACTGTCACCCAGACTGGAGTGGAG